TGAGTCAACACTTAGTTCTCTATAAAACAGTTTACCGTTTTTCACCTGCGCTTTCGTCTAGAAGATAAACAGTTTCAGAATCAAATGAGCCGCAGAAGGGTTATAAATTCGAGGACGCCAAATTGTTATTATGACATACAAAAACTTCTTTCATGTCTGCAACAGAGTTGGATTCAACTGGCTTTCTTTTGAGAAATGAATTTGATTAATGATGAACTTTGGCTGGATTCATAGTTCAAAGTATCAATGCTCTGATTACTTTTTCAGAAACATGGGCGAGACGACAATTCTGAAATGCCGCATCTTCTGGGTGGAAGTGGGGTACCGGTGGCAGCGTACAGTTTTAGGGGATTGGTGAAATAAAAGTGCCGCTACGATTACCCTCCAAAGAAAGGTTTCATAGCGACCACCTGTTGCAATGTGAAGTTTGAACTACTATTATCACTACTTCTGTGAAGCAGACTATTATTCAGTTCGCCATTCTTCGAACAGTGGGTACTTCTCCTTTAGATGACCACAACTTTTTTAGGAGCGAATGGTTGGTGTAAAAAAGAAACCTTTCTTTCATTAATACGAGGAAATTTTCAATAGAGGCGAAGGTGGTGTAGAGGCGAATGAGCCGCTTACCGCGCGTGCGATAGGTGTGCTAAACACTGCATGGGCTTCTCTAAAGTCATAGAAAGCTTCCAGATTTCCTGTGCTAGTATACTGGTACTAGATCGACTCAGGAGAAGCGGTCAATAATTCAGAAATTGACTGGTTTCTGCCATCCAGGAGCCAGGTCCCTAGAGCCGCCAAGAGTCTAAGTAATGAGTGGCATAGCCAAAAAGGAGTTGACTTGTGCTGAAAGCCTCCCTTGGGCTATCACTATTCGATGGAAAGAGTTTTCTATGAAGTAAAAAGGGAAATTTTGCATCTTGCTTATTTCTATTTTGCCATTAGGGGAAAGAAGTTCATATGTGTGCAATATGAGTAATTATAAATATGAAAAGCAGTACATGTAATGTGAGACTATGATTATAATATAACATTAACTATACATATAATGTACAATATAAAAATAAGAAGTGAAGAAATATAATTAAGAGCATTGACAAGATAAGCCCTTAAGATATCTTCAGAGCGGTCATAAAAATGTTTTCTTCAGCTGTGTTATTCTTTCCTGAAGGCGGCGAAACTGGAACAAGAATGTTGTATTCGACACGACCCCAGTCAGCTCGTTCTCGTGGTCGGACACTCCTTTAAGACGTCTTTATCGCGGGTTCATTGCGACACGTTCAGGAAAAACAGGAAAAAGCTCATCTTCTTTGAACCAAACCGAGAGTGCTGAAAGAACGATCACAGGAAATTATTGAGAGAACTGGACACTTACTTGTTCGCCCTAGGCTGCACTAGAGTAGTGCGTTTTTTTTAAATACCTCACTTAATCACTGACATATACAGGGGGGCCAAAAAAAAGTCACTTCGACCGAGTCACATATCAGCAAAGTTTTCGCTGCCCAGACAGAGGACGTGGATACGAGTACCAGGGCGGAAGATACCCAAGATGTTCCTCTATAAGCAGGAGCTGGCTCTCGCCCATCACCTTCATGTACACCAAAATATGAAGTCATCTCCAGTCGCAGCCTGACTGGAGAAGACCTTTGGAATTCATGTCACCTCCAAACAGCTGCGAAACTTCTAGTATGGAGTCACCCATGGATAGCTACCTGGAGACCAGTACTCTCAATCTGGAAGACCTCCAACATCGAGCAGCTTCGTCAACGTCGCTACGGTCTAGGACATCATCTTCACCGTAGTCGCCGAGGCGCGAGTTGATGGTATGGACCGGGGTACCTGGAATGGGAAGACCGATATTTTCTTTGTAGACCCGGACTGAAGGTGAGCGCTGGCGGTTACATCGAGCAACTCGAGAAGAATATCCTCCCTACATGTCGTCGCCCGTACCTTCTTGGAGACCTTGTACTGCTACAGGTTTGGGTGCCACCACATGGAATCGAAGGGTTTTGGAAAAACTCCCGCCTACTTCGAATGGAAGGGCGTTTCGTACCTGAAGAAGATGTAATATTGAAGTATGTCCCCTGACCTGAACCCACTCAATTACCCAGTTCGGGCGGAGTTTAATAGGGTGGTCTACGGTGGCGGAGAAATCGACTATCTCGCTGATCTCAGGCACCACATCGCGGTCGCGTGCCAGAATCTCGATGGCGCTCGTCCAGAAGGCTGTGGCGGAGTGTCATGATAGTATTTAATATGCTCTTTAATATGGTGGTGGAAATGTCCGATCAGAATTTATAAAGTGTAACTTATAGCGCCTCGAAAGTCAATGAGGCAAAGTGACTTTTTTTGGGCCCCCCTGTATACAGGAAGAGGGCAAAAAGGACCCTCTTCTTCCTCGACTCTCAAGGCGATATGAATTACACGCCATTGAGTTACGATCGGACTTTCCACCACCGTATTCAGCAGCACATTGTATGTACACTAGCACGATACTACGCCACAGGAGCTTAACAACGAGCGCCATCGAATATTCTACCACGCGACGTGATTCGGTGTCTGGGTTGAGCGAGGTCGTTCATTTTTCCACCACTGTAGACCTCCGTGTTGAGCTCCTCCCGAACCCGGTAATCGAGGAGGTTCGAGTCAGGTTACACTTGAATAAACCGTCTTTTTCAGGTACTCAACGCCCTTCCATTCAATGTTTTTCCAACGCCCTTCGATTTCATGTGGTGGCACCCAATCCTGTAGCAGTAACTAGTTTCCAAGACGGTACAGGCGACGACATGAAGGCAGGATATTCTTCTCGAGTTGGTCGATGTAACCGTCAGCGTTCACTTTTAGTCCGGGTTCTATGAGGCAAATATCGGTAATCCCAATCCAGGAACTTTCGGTCGACGACCTCAAGTTCAGCGAGGTCGTTGATTTCTCTGCCATTGTTGACCACCCTGCTAAGCCATGCCCGAACATCGAGAGTTAAGAGTAGGTGACCACTTGGATATTTCGTATTCTTCGGATACTTAACGCTTTCCGATTCCGAGTAGACGCGAGTTCTTCAAATCTATGGGCTGGCACTTAATCCTGTTGCAGTACGAAGTTTTCAAGGCTGTACAGGAGACGAAAGCAGCATATTCTCCTCGAGCTGCTCGATGTAACGTACAGCGTCCACCTTCAGTGCAGGGTCTACGAAGAAAAGTCCCTACATTCCAGGAACTTCCGGCACATATCATCGATCTGCACCTTAGCGACTGCGGTGAAGATGATATCCTGGACCGTAGCGACGTTGTCGGAGCTGCTCGATGTTGGAGGTCTTCCAGATCAAGAGTGCTGGTCTCCAGGTAGCTGTCCATGGGTGACTCCATACAAGAAGTTTCGCAGCTGTTTGGAGGTGACGAATTCCAAAGGTCTTCTCCAGTCAGGCTGCGACTGGAGATGACTTCATATTTTGGTGTACATGAAGGTGATGGGCGAGAGCCTGCTCCTGCTTATCGAGGAACATCTTGGGTATCTTCCGCCCCAGTACTCTTATCCACGTCTTCAGTCTGAGCTGCTCGATGATGCGGAAGCTTTACTGATATGTGACTCGGCGAAAGCGTCTTCCCCCCCCTCCCCACCCCATACATGTATGAATTGGTTATTGTTCTCCGGGTATGAGGTGTGAGGCACACGGGAGTTGAAGGTTTGCTCTGATCGCTGACAAAGTGCCGAAAGTCGAAGAAAACCTTTGGAAGCCTTCTACAAGATTGGTGTAGTCACTCTACACAAAGCGGGCAACTCCAAGGAATTCGCTGAATTCCAGCCCCCGTTAGTGAAGATTTCGAGAGGGAACGTCCTTTTCTGTTCACTCTCCTTCAACAATATTTTTTTGTTGTCCATATTTAGCTCTCATCTCACCTTAGGCTTTCTATGGGCGCTTTATTCGGTTACAGTAATTTTTGGGTACCCAGTGTAATAAGAACTGTGCTGCAGATTCAAGATCTATCGTTTCCAGTGTTGGCTTTATTGTTAGGTCGCATCCTTGTGCGAAAAAAGTGGGTTCGCATCTGCAGTAGCGTGCCACTTTCTTGGCTCAAATTCGCACGGAAAAGGAGTAGGGCAGCATACAAACTTCGCGACGACGACGAGCTGTAACTTACTAGTTGCAAGAGCACCAACTTCACTGTATCCCTGCTGCTTTCCTTCACTACGTTACTCTTTCTTTCCTTGTTTTCCACTTCTACTCCATCTTAGAATCTCGAAGTAGTTGTGGATAAGATAAGCTGTGACAGATCAACAAGACCCAGTATCCAAGACTTTTTTTCTTGAGATTGTACTACTGCTACTAATGGTAAGATTAGGCAGCGTGCTTTGTGATAAGGACATTTGATAATGTTTTTGACTTTCACTATCAGAAAAAATCAGACCCACCAGCGCTGTAGCGCTTTACAACTGTAGCGTGACGTCGCGAAGTCTGAACGCTGCCTACCCGACAGCGGTAGAGAACTACAAAAGGTGAGAGGAGCAGAAACACGTGTGGCTACAGTGGACACCCCTACCCTTCAGCTCCCGTGTAGTTTCAAGCGGGGAAGTAGCACACCACTGCAGCTGCGAACCCATTTCGCTCGCACGCGGAAAGGATCGGGATACAAGGGAGAAAAAGCAAAATTTGTGAGCTTGTTTACAAAGCCACGAGGAGCTGGCAAGTCCATGGCTGTCACGAAATTCGGGCAGCGTGGTATCTCCTCTCCTTTCCCTCCTATGAATTACCTTCTATGTAGTTAGAAATAAAATAGCTTTATTGAGCGTACTGCGAGGTTATCGTTTACGAACTGCCCTTGTATGGAGTTCTGGACTTTTTGGTTTCTGATTTTATTTCTAGATATTCATTTATTTTATTTATTTATTTATTACTATCATTATTATTATTATTATTATTGTAGTTGCTGTATAGAGGTGGGGTATGGAGTCGGGGCATCTCCATACTCCCATCTCGGGTCCAAATCTTCTTCTTTTTCTCAAAGTTTTTGCCGATTATTTTTGCAGCAGTACATTCGGGTTGGCAGCCCTCTTGTCCTATAGCTGCTGTTTTTGCTCGATTGTTCGCGGCTGCTTATTCGATATATTCGCAGCTAACCGCCACACGGACGGCCGCTCCTCGATCCACAACCTGAGGACGCG